GGAACAAATTAGAAATTGTGAGAACAACTGCCAGCAGGTAACTGACAAAGCATTCAAAGAACAGAGAGACAGACCAGAGGCCCAAGAACAAAGTGAGAAAAAAATATCAAAATTAGATCCTAAGAAGTTAGCTCTAGATACCAGCTTTTTGAAGGTAAGTGCAAGGCCTTCAGGAAACCAGACAGACCTGGATGGGAGCTTGAGGAGAGTTAGAAAAAATGATCCTGACATGAAGGAACTCAACCTGAACAACATTGAAAACATCCCCAAAGAAATGTTACTGGACTTTGTCAATGCAATGAAGAAAAACAAGCACATCAGAACATTCAGTTTAGCCAATGTGGGTGCAGATGAGAATGTAGCATTTGCCTTGGCTAACATGTTGCGTGAAAATAGAAGCATCACCACTCTCAACATCGAGTCCAATTTCATCACAGGTAAAGGGATTGTGGCCATCATGAGGTGTCTCCAGTTTAATGAGACGCTAACTGAGCTTCGGTTTCACAATCAGAGGCACATGTTGGGTCACCATGCCGAAATGGAAATAGCCAGGCTTTTGAAGGCAAACAGCACTCTCCTGAAGATGGGCTACCATTTTGAGCTTCCGGGTCCCAGAATGGTGGTCACTAATCTGCTCACCAGGAATCAGGATAAACAAAGGCAGAAACGACAGGAGGAGCAAAAACAGCAGCAACTCAAGGAACAGAAGAAGCTGATAGCCATGTTAGAGAATGGGTTGGGGCTGCCCCCTGGGATGTGGGAGATGTTGGGAGGACCCATGCCAGATTCCAGAATGCAGGAGTTCTTCCAGCCACCGCCACCTCGGCCTCCCAACCCCCAAAACGTCCCCTTCAGTCAACACAGTGAAATGATGAAAAAGCCATCACAGGCGCCGCAGTACAGGACAGACCCTGACTCCTTCCGGGTGGTGAAGCTGAAGAGAATCCAGCGCAAATCTCGGATGCCGGAAGCCAGAGAACCACCCGAGAAAACCAACCTCAAAGATGTCATCAAAACACTCAAGCCAGTGCCGAGAAACAGGCCACCCCCATTGGTGGAAATCACTCCCAGAGATCAGCTGCTAAACGACATTCGTCACAGCAATGTTGCCTATCTTAAACCTGTAAGTAGATGGAGGGAGAAACGGTGACTGAGCACCCTCCATAGAAAATGCATCCCAACTTTATTCCCTATTTGTTTTAACGTAAGGGGATACTCACTAATTGAGACTAACTGGGGGACGCCAATGAGCATTACCAATAGAACTAAATTACTGTTACCTCTAAGGATGTATACCTGTAGCACCCCATATCTAGGTACACCTATATGACTTCTGTAACAATAATATTAGCAGCTAATATTTAGGGCGCATTTACTACAGGCTGGAGTCATTATATGAATTAACTCATGTAATCATCTTACCAACCCTATAAGGTCTAGGTACTGTTATTCTCCCCATTTAATAAAAAGGATACTGAGACTTAGAGAATTTAATAACATGTGGAGGAGATACAGCTAGGAAGTGGTAGAACTGACATTGAAAGCCGGTTCTGAGTCCAGAGTCAAGCTTTAATTCACTTCATTCTTCTGACCTCTTCAAGTGCATATTCAAAAGAACACCATTCCAGCCACAATGGAGCTGACACTCAGAGATCCCCAGGAACCTATAGTGAGGAATAAATAAGAATGAGGCCAGGCCGGGTGCATTGGCTCACGCCTGTAATTTCAGCACTTTGGGAGGCCTAAGCAGGTGGATCACGAGGTCAAGAGATTGAGATCATCCTGGCCAACGTGGTGAAACCCCATCTCTACTAAAAATACAAAAATTATCTGGGCTTGGTGGCGGGCACCTGTAGTCCCAGCTACTCGGGAGGCTGACGCAGGAGAATTGCTTGAACCTGGGAGGTGGAGGTTGCAGTGAGCCGAAATTGTGCCACTGCACTCCAGCCTGGTGACAGAGCAAGACTCTGTCTCAAAAAAGAAAAAAAAAAAAAGGCCAAATTGGGCCAATAGTAGATAATTGAATGCTTCTAAAATGCGTAGAAACAGTTCTTTTTAGTAAATGAAGAGAGACTGTCTGAAATTACATTTGTAGTGCTCGCTTTTTAGGCAGATAAATGATGAACTTCAGGTTGGTATCACCGTGAATTCATGGAGTTTTAAAATCACTGTTTCAGTTTAATATTTACCATGATTCACAATTACTGCTGAGTGGAAAGGTTATTTTCCTTGCAACTTAAGTTGCAGAAATAAAAATGTTTTGGTCATTATGATGATGGCATTTATTGAGGTTGAAAGATGTGTTCGGTGGCCACAGGAGATTGATAATTAACTATATTATTTTAAAATCTTGTGTAATATAGCCATGAGATTATGTTGACAGAATAGTCAGTATATTATTTTATTACACAGATTTGTGTTTTTTAAAGACATGTTGAATTTTTATGCATGCTTGCTCTTTTTCTGCTTTAAAGAGCTTGATATTCTGAAATAATTGCTAGTCTTTCACATATATACATATGTATGGTCCTTATTCCCAACTCCTGGAATGAAGAATTATCAATAGCCCATTCTTCTGAATCAAAGCTGACTTTCATCTATGGTTTAGAGAGGCTCTGATTCTTCCTGGAGCAGTGGCCAGGTTGAGATCGCCGGAGGTCACGTGAGGTCAGACAATGGTTCTTTGCCTGCCCTTGGGCACAGCATCAAGATTTTCTGCACCTGCTCTTCTCTAGACAGCCAGAACTCCCCTGGGAGTGAATTGGGGTGTTGTTTGAGAGAAACTAGTTCTACCACTTTTCCAGTAACTAGTCATTGGCAAAGAATATTCAAGCCACCTTGGTGGCTGTACGTTCAGAAAAGAATAGTCTGAAAAGAATGATG